ACACACACACACACACACACACACACACACACACACACACACACACACCAGTGTGATCATAGCAGTTTGAGCCTCTAGTCTGCTGATTTTCACACGACCCTTTAATCCATGTTCATGTGCAAACTTCTTTAATTAGTCCCCGGACAGGACTGGAGCCAATGTTGGCATGATTGATAGCGGCAACGAAATAGCGACTACCTTGAAGCTGAATGAATGTGTTCCAGAATCTGGTAGCACATTTGTAAAAGTAATTCAGTGGTCTTTTTTGAGGAGGATGGGGGCACAGAATGTCCCCTTTTCCTGACACTACCTGTTAGTATTGCTCAGCTGTGTGAGTTCTGTCAGGTACTCCTGCAGTTCTTTAGCTGCCTGGAAGCGACCGTACTGTTTCTGAGGCCTGGTGCACTCGTCCAGCAGAGCCGTGAGGCGGCCGTCTTTGACCAAGTCGGCGGGGGGGTCGTGGAGGAGACCGCCCGTAGTGCCGCGCCAGGTGGCGAATCTAGAGAGCAGGTTCTGACAGATAGCATAGTAGTTGTGGTCCACGGTGACTCGAGAGCAGAGGATGTCCTTGGAGAAGGAGAGACAGGCCTCTTTGTCGCATTCCTCGTAGAGGCTCTCGTACCACACGTCATAGTTCTCTGGTTTATCTGAGATAAAAAAAAAAAACAGTCAAACGGTGCATAATATCTGCCAAAATAATACATGAGAATAAACCTCAAACTCAACATGAAAAAGCATTTGCAGCCCATGTTTCTGGGTGAAACAGGATATTCAAGAACTGAATATTGAAGACTGAAGTTTGGGCCCTATGATTTCAAATTACAGTATAACACAGAATGTCACTGAATTTGATTTATTATTTAGACTAATAAATCAAGTGTTTGTAAATATTAAAATACTATTTAAATATTAATTCTGCTTTTTGTGTGATTGAGCAGCGCAGTTTTGTCTACCACACAAACTCAAGCACACGTGATGCCGTCTCACTGTATGAGGACATGAACATGAACTTCATCTCCAGAGCTGCTCTGAGGGTTCACTTCACCAGCATTTAACCTTTTCATTTGATAAAAAAAAACACTGTCATGTCATATAGAGTAGGCATAGAAACTCAAAGATCTTCATGGCAACCCGTTAAAATAAAAGTTAGGTCTGACTTCAAGAAGCTGCGACAGAAATATATTACTGCTGCACAGTAGACTGTTCTTAAAAATATAAGTTTAAATAATTGTTTTTATTATTACTTTAAGGAATATCACGATTTACCAACCTCAGCATTTTATTTACCTAAAAAAAAAAAAAAAAAAAAAAAATTTTTTTTCATATTTTCATGTGGTTAAATTTTTTTTACATGTTTAATGTTTTAAGTCTTTATTTGATTACCACCGTATTTGATAATACATTTGTATTAAATCCAGAAAAATAAAAACAGGCAAAAATAAATAAATAAAGAAAAATAAAATAAATAAATTATTAAATAATACAAAAAAAAAATTAATAGGGCCTATTATCAATGATAATAATTTAATGAATTCAATTGATTAGACTTGCTTTTTGATTTAATTAAAATTAAAAATGTGACTATTAACAATTAAAAATGTAACCATGAAATCCAGAACAATTTAAACAGATTTTTTTGTTTTAATTAAAAAAATAATAATTATATATATATAAAACAAAAGCGGAGAAAGATTTCATAGGGCCCTAAAAATGCCATTTTTGTTCAACTTTTAATAAAGTGTTGTTAAACTGTGTTTTTATAAACCTTTAATAAACTGTTTTAATTAACTTTTAATAAAGTGTTGTTAAACGTTTCATGATTTAAATTAATTAGACATGCAATTTTTTGATTACTAAAATTTGATTTAAGCATTAAAATGGAATCCAGAAAAATTTAAACAGGAAAAACAAACAAACTAACAAAAACAAAACTCATTTCATATGAAGTGGAGCTAGAGCAGAATGAGATCAGCATTTTGAAACACCGCTGGTGTCATTAAGAGTTAGGACCCCTGCACAGCACCGTTCAGATTGGACCCCAGGGTGCAGCCGCTCGTACCAGCTAATCAAAAGCTGTTATTGCAATATCTTGTTGTAGTTAATCAAAACAGCCTAACACCTGTTATCGTTTTGTAGCTGTGGTAGCTTGATGTAACATGTAGGCCAGTTTACTTTGAGCTCCAGTAGAAACCACTGAAGGCTAAGTGACTATTTATAATGTTACAAAAGATTTCAAATAAATGAAGCTTTTGAGCTTTCCAGCCATCAAAGAATCCAAAACTAATAATTACAATAAGAATAAATGATATTTGAGCACTAAATCAGCATATTAGAATGATGAATCATGTGACACTGAGGACTGATGGCTGCTGAAAATCCAGCTGTCATTACAGAAAAATAAAATAAAATTGTAAAATACATTACAAAAGAAAACAATTGTAATAATAATTTAAATTGTAATAATATTTCACAATAATACTGTTTTTGCTGTATTTTGATCAAATAAATGTAGCTGTGGTGAGTATATGTAGTTTTTTTAAAAATAGGAAAACATCGTAATGACCCCAAACTTTGTAACGGTGCACGACTGATTTAGGATTTCTGATCAGGCACAGATTAGAGTACTTTTCAGTCAAATTGCTTTGGGGTCCTATACTCAACAGGTGGACTTAACATTTCATGACACCAAACATTATTTTTGAATCTATTCTTATTGCATATGTTTGCAGTAGATTTCATTACAACCTAAACTGGCATTTAATTACTCTTAATTATTAAATAAAACATTGAAAAGGTTGCATTATCTAAAACATTAGCCTAAAACAATGCCTAAATATTTGGCTGTAGGTAAAAAAAATAAAAATAAATAAATAAATAAAATGCACAAAAAAAAAAAAAGACCAGGAACGCGTATTAAGGGGAAAAAATAGGGTCAATTTCATGTTAACATTCAACATAAGTTCACTATCCTTTGCAGAAGCAATGATTGAACTTCTAGTCAAGTTCTCCTGTGTTTCACAACATGCCTAGTTTCAGTCAGCTGACTTTTATTCAATCCGGCCTAATCCTTATTCCACTGGCTTTTCCTTTTAAAAACAACTTGCTGTTACATTCTGTGTATCAGACAACAAAAAAAAGCTCTATATCATTACACATCGCTTTATTTCTTGTAGTTTCAATCTTCTTCAAAAAGCACAACCTACACTAAAATGGAACGATCTGCAGAATAAAGACATTGACATGATTCAGCTCTTCACTGTGAGAAGACAAATAATAATTGCTTCTGAAAGCAGCTGCAGTTCTTCTCTAGCCACCCATTTTAATGCTTTACAAATCAATAAACCTGAGGATCTTCTAGGAGGAGGTGGTGGGGTGCAGAAATAGACTGGGCTGTGACATCTATTCATCAGCAAAACTATATTGAGTCATAAAGCGCCTTAAAGAGTTCGGGATTTGCTGTCTTGGTCATTTGACACAGCTCAATATCATGCCAATAACTAATTAGAGAAAATGAAGTCACTGTGCTGCCAATCACTCTCATGGGAGCCAATTATGAGATCCAGGGGAGGTAATCTGCCAGAGCCAATCAGAGTACACGCTGGCTTCGGTGCTTTTCTCTTTTGCTGTGCGTGCTGAGAATCACATCCAGAGGTTTATGGAGGAACAGCACGAAATATCGTTCCAGAACTCATGGAAATCTTAAATTAAAGAGACAGTTCATCATTTATTCACCCTCATGTCATTTCAAACCAGTATGACTTCTATGAAACACAAAGGAACCCCACTGACTTTCATTGTATGGACGAAAACCGATGAGATAATCTTCAAAATATCTTCTTTTGTATTCAGCAGAAGAAAGAAATTCATACAGGTTTGGAACAAAATCAGAATGAGTAAATGATAGATTTTTTTTGGGGGGGGGGTTAACTATTCACCCACCAAATGTTATTAATCTGTTATTAAAAACTAAGCATGTAGCACTTTACAAATAAAAATGAACAAATACATTAACCTTTGTTAATGTTAGTTAATAAAAATGTTAATAAAGTTCAGTGTATTAACTAATGTTAACAGAAACCAGCTTTGATCGTTAAAAATTATTAATACATTCTGAAATTAAAATGAACTAAGATTATTAAATTATGTAGAAGTATTGTTCTTAGTTAATGCTAACAAATTAACTAAATTAACCACATTTTTAACTAAACAAATTTTATTATATATATATATATATATATACACATTTATACACACACATTTTATTATATAATACAATCTAATTATAAAGTGTTACCATTAAATGTTATTAAATGAACAAAAATTGCCATCACTTGAGATATTCGCAATAAAAATCACCTCCTGTGAATAGAAATAATTTCTGAATCCATGAATGGCAATCCTTAAAAGGCTCACATTAATTAATGCACAGAGATATTATAAGCAGAATTAATTAAATTTAAAAGATGAATTAACAAAATGACTTCCAACCTTGATGCCCAACATATGCACACGTCGATTCAGAATAGAAACTCGATACAAAAAGCTCGTGTTATCTAACATTTCAGAAAGACCTATCTGCAAGCAAACGCACACACACACAAGCTCTATTCAGATAAACGCTGGCAGGCAGAAGCAAATAGCCATTGTTATGTAGCACACATGCTCCAAGTTCATCCGACAGTCCAGCCTGCCCTTTCTGGATGGCAGATCCACTGGCATGCATACTTGGTCCAGCACTGCACCCAGCAATGCCAACTCACTACCGTCCAGAATCAAAAGTGCAGCTTTGGGCCACGTTCATCTGTTGCAATGCACTTTTACAGCACTGCTTACTTAAATGTGAAACTGGAATTTAAAGCCCATGCATTATCAAAATAGGGGCTCTATCAGGGCCAAAACCTAACTTTTCAATTAAAGGGCAATATTTGGCCATTGGAATAGATTTCCGGGGCAATTTTTATCTTAGCATGGGAAATTTTTATAATTACCTTATTAAATGTATTCTGCGTTGTTTTCTATGTCAAATACTTACATTTAGCCAATTACTTTAATCAATCAACAGACTATAGACTGTTACCAATAAAATGTTATCAACAAAAGCCATCTTTACCCTGCAAAGGTGGAACAAAAGCTGCATCTGACATGGCTATCATTTTTAATGTTGCTCAAAGGTGGTATGTATTTACACAACAACTGCATAATTTAAATAGCCTACATAAAGTATGTAACTTATTGTAATAAATAAGTAAATAAATAAAACAGAAGTTCACTATAACCATTAAAAAGTAGGGCTTCACTATCATGACAAAAAATATTATTGTTGATTATTGCTCTTGATATAGTAATAATGATTAATGTTTTGGGTTTGGGGAACAACATGTCATATTCCTGACAAAAAAAAAATAAAAAATCTAAGAACTTGCTTATTTTAGTAGCATGAAAAACAAAAACGTTTTATTCAAACTGGGGATAAAGCGAGCAAAGAACACTCGATCACTGATGAAGCGTTCCATGACTTAAGTCTATATGGAGACAGAATTGTTGCATCATTCCAAATAAATAGATTATGATCCACAAATAAATGTAAAGAGATTAACAAAAATTACAAATATAAACAAGTAGAATGAGATCCACAAATAAATCTTAGATTTTCACAAACATGAATTAAATTCACAAATAAATAAAATGAGATTTGCAAATAAAAAACATTCACAGATATATATTTTATGTCACAAAGACAACTTTGCAAGGCATTTATTTGTAAATCACGTCCTGTAAATTTATTGATCGCTGCACGCATTTGTGGATCACTCTCCGTATATTTGTGAATGGCTTTCTGTGCATTTGTGGATCGCTGTGTGCATTTGTGGATTTTGAAACATTTCTAGTGTCAAGACGCTGACAATCCACAAATGCGTGACTCCACCCACCACCTACTCAAGCCAATCAGATAACAGCCACATTTCACTGACCAATCGTAGCATGTTCTCACTATAACCAATCACGTTTTGCTTTACAATCAGGGCGAGAGCAGATTCATTTTGCACCCCTGTAAGGAACTGCATTCTATGGACACTTCGTTCAAATTGAGCTGAAGTGCTGTTTGTGTGGTTAAAAAAAAAATCATTTTTCCAAAAGATGTAGTGTTCCAAAGTGTTGAGTGTAAGGCTTCTTTATATTTCCATCAGGATCAGTGAATAAGGATATACTCAGGATTATACACAATTTATGATCATTCACAGATGCTCCAGCTTCCAGTTGCAGTTACAGCGAAGCGAAGCGCGACAGCGAGCAGAGTAGACATGGCATAAGACATGGCACAATGGCTTATTCGGCCTTTTAAATCACTATTGTGGTGACAAATATAGGGCATAATAACACGTATAATATCAAATATGGGCCCAAATGACCATCTCGGTAGCAGCCTCCGCATCACTGCAGTGTATACTGGGGATTTGCGAGTGGATGATGTAAAAACCGTGCATTTACTTTGGATGCTGTCAATTTACTTTTACAATCAAAACTAGTAAGTCTGATTCATATGAAATATTGTTTGCGTGATCAAGTGTTTTAACCAATCTCGTCTTACATTTATATGCATTTATATTCAACATACCTGCCCCACATTTAAAAAAGAACCCACGTATATTTTTTCCTCCCCAAACAATGGCAACTTTGTAATACTTTTAATTAATGTTTGAAAATATTATTTACAATGCTTTATACATCATTAGATCCACATAGCTGCTCATATACATCATTTAAATGGCTTGACTGAAAAAACTGGGAAACGCTGTTGGCTGTTGAGTGACGGCAATTTAACCTATTACACAAACTCGTATGTTTATCATGAGGCGAAATATAGTTATTTATTAGTCAGTTACTTATTGATGCTTTTCTTTCCATCTTGAATAACACAACGCTTCCATAACGCATCTGTATCCAGTATAGCGTTGTTCCCATAGCCGTGATTTAAAGTGCTGTTTCTCTGGCATTTTCAAAGGCACGTAAAATATAATACTGTGGCCTGGCTTGATACACAGACTAATGGTCTAACAAAATCCAATTTTACACATATTTTACTGTACCAATTTTTGTGGCCCTTATATTTCATATTAGAGCCAATGCAGATAAATTAGAAAGTTATTTCAGGAAGAGACCACCCTGATTGTAAAGCAAAATGTGATTGTTATAGCGAGAACGTGCTACGATTGGTCAGTGAAATGTGGCTGTTTTCTAATTGGCTTGAGTAGGCGGTGGGTGGAGTCCATGCATATGTGGATTTGCCAGCGTCTTGACACTAAAAATGTACATAAAGCCATTCACAAATGTACGGGGAGCGATCTACAAATGCACAAGACACGATTCACAAATGAATGCCAAGCAAAGATGTGTTTGTGACATAAAAAAATATATTTGTGTATACGCTTTTTATTTGTAACTTAATTTTATTTTTTTTGTGAATTTAACTCATGTTTGTGAAACTAAGATTTATTTGTGGATCTCATTCTATTTATTTGTCAATATGTTTCATTTTTGTTAATCTCTTTATTTATTTGTGGATCATAATCTATTTATTTTGAATTATGCAACAATTACAGTGGTGTGATATATATATAAAACATTTTACTGGCTTACACTCTTAAATGTCGTAAATCTGATAAGTGCAGGAGGTATTTCAGTGATGTGTCCAATCTGTTAAACTCATCCTGTCCTTGAGTCTTTTAGGGGTCACTAGTGAATTAAGTGGAGACAGAAACCCAGAACAAGATCTGTATTTTCCTCTTGCTTTGACCATTTCTAATGCTAATAATGATACTGACTGACAAAATCAATTTCCTTTGACATTGTAATCACAATCATTATCGTAGATTAATGGAATTTATATTAAAAATGCTATTTTGAGTAAGGAATCTGACATTTTTTGTGTAGCTACATCCAAAACAGACGGTTTCTGAATTTATTTATTGCTATTTATTTAGTAAATTAAGACTAAATGGTGAACTTCACATTGGCCTTTAAAGCAGCATCAAAAACAAAACTTTTATTTACATTTTTATTTTTTTATTTTTTTTTAAGTAAATTATACACAGAAAACAACCAAAGCCACAATACACTCCGATTATAATCACAACATTTTGAGCGCTACAGTTCAGTGTGAGCTCTGGATTCTAACACATGCAAATGCTCCTATTATTATAAACAAAGCTGTCCACACTGCAGAATAAATCCTTTTAATTTACTATGCTTTGTTGATTTGAAAAGTGGTATTCTAGGTTTGTCACATTTCTTGCTTATAGTGTATATTGGGTATAAATTAGCGGTCTGCAGTCTCGCGGCCGCGGACCCGACAGGATTTTTTTCACCACGGGATTAAATTCCCAAATAAATCGCGGTAGCGGTCGGTAACTCTGGTGTAATTTGAACGGAAAAACCTTCATTTAAAAACTGCATGTTGTGTTTACTTGTGTTATCTTTGACTAATATTTAAATTTGTTTGATGATCTGAAACATTAAAGTGTGACAAACATGCAAAAAAATAACAAATCAGGAAGGGGGCCAACACTTTTTCACACCACTGTATATCTCCATAAGTCTAGCATGAGTTATGCACTCAAGCAATAACTCCTGTTATAATCACTGAAGCTGTGTACAACTGCAAAATGAATCTTTTACTGGCATTGCATCTGCACTTTGTTTTTTTTTGTGATTAGATAATTATTGCGAGTGCAGATTCAGAATTCAGTCAGCGAGCACGTGCACTGAACAAAACTCCTGCGTTTTCAGCAGTGACTAAACCCCTATGATTGGCCATTGCACGAATAAGCTCAAGAGAAATGTGTGTGACTGGTTATATAATGCTCAACTCTGCAAAAAATGTGAGCAGGTCTAAATGTAATCAACACTTTACGTTCACTTTCACATTTCACTTTAATCTTAAGCCATTTAAATTTTTTGCACCCTTATCTTGAATTTGGAGTGTATTTTTGACCAAGTTCCCACTAATTTTCGACCCTGGGCTCTACAGAGTTACAGGAAAGCCATCTGTGCTTTATTCATGTGTAGAGTTTTTAAAAGTTCCAAAAAACAAACAGCAATGATACTTTAATTACAAATCTGACAGCATGGGAGGCCCATGCAGGTTTCCACCTTGTCTGTAATACTGTGATAATTCCTCCTGAAAGTCCTGAAAAACATTTATTTTGATGGGGAAGACAAAGTACAGAAACAAACAGGCCTAAAAAACAGGTGCACCAGCTCATCTGAGGGAAAATTGAAAGTGGGTCAGAACATATGAAAGTAGACAAAAGAAAAAAAAAAACAACAACACCACACCATCTAACCTGGATAACAGTTTCCTGCACAATTTATTAATGCTGTAAAGCAAGAGCATGGAGATGCTGGAGTGAAGTCGTTACTTACTCCGCTTAATCAATCTCTTGTCCGCCACGATGATGTTTTCTGCATCGACGACGATGACTTTTCCGTCACGAGGCCCAACTGCAAAGTTGTCGAAACTCACGTCTAGGAGGTAAAGGGCAAACTCAAAGTCGTTGTTGGTCAGCTGCTCGGCGATGTCCATCAGCTGCTTGGCCAGATCCACTCTTTTCTCCCAGGGTGCATTGTAGAAGCTCCAGAGCTCCTCGCCCACATAATTCACCGCCACCATCCGGCCACAGGCCCCCAGGTATTTGGCGAACGGCCAGCCCTCATCAGAGGGAAAACTCTGCAGAGATGAAACATGAGGAGAGACCCAAGGTGAGAGAAAAGTTCTCCATTCTCACACACACAAGTAAAAATCACTATGTCCACTCAAATTTGGAGCAAAGAAATGCCATTTAAGACATAGATAAACTGCAGAATCATTATCTTGATGCAAAGTAGCTGTACCAAACTTTTCTTAAGAGCTGTGGATATTCAATATCCCCATTTCAAGTTGAGTCATTAAAAATGGATAAGTGACTATTACATTTTAATCCTAGAGATTCAAATAATTTAGAGGACAAAACACAGCATTCGGTAACCAGTCGGAGCCTCCAACATCTGGCCTCTGTGGTCTGGGCTGGAGAGGCTGAATCATGCTGTTTCATGGTCTGCTCTTCATCACATACATCGTTTCTGAGGGACCTTTGGCAAAGCGAATCGGTCATATATATA